GATTTATTTTACGCAAATGATTAATATCGTTTAACTTCATTCCCATCTTCGTGGATATCGACAACTTCGTTCCCAGTACAAAAGTGGTTTGCCTGATTAAGAATAGTTTTCTAGGTCATGCAGGGATGTAGTAATATATTCAAAAGTGGGGGGCACGTTCACGAGGCGAGAAAATTTTCGAAATTCATTGCTCTATAGATCCTTGCTTTTTAAGTTGTTGTGAGAGGAATTGCGTAGGTGATAACATTTGGCGAAGGAATTGCCGCTATTGAACGCTTTAATGTATGAAACCCAAACTCATAACTATAAGTATTGTGATGAATGAAAACTTTTATGCATGAAAGTTTTGATCACATCTACATGTGTTTGTTACTACAACCTATATACAATTTCCAACACTCAGTTTGAATTGCAAAGCGTTTTTTTTTAAAAGCACTGTATTTTTTTTTTGGGGGGGAGGGGGGCGAAAGATATTTCGGCTCCCATGCATATATATTATTGGGGGAAGTCGCGGCCCACCCGCTTCCTACGCTCATGCACTAGGTTACTAGAGTTTACTAGGTAAATATAGGATTGCAAGATTAATATCGTATAAAGAGCTAAAGAACTATATACTATGAAAGTTTAACCCAGTATTCAGGCACCAACTTGCGCGCTATTTAGATACTCCGTCCATCGTTCGGCCATGTTGGCGTGCACTTGGGGTTCTGCTCGATGTGTTTAAAAACGCTTAAAGTGACTCATGAATCCATGAAAAGCAGAAATTTCACATTGTTATTGAAATTGTTATCGACATTGTTATTGACAGAATGTCCCAATCAGTGTTCCGGCAAGGGAAGATGCGTGAATTCTACTTGTGTTTGTATGGCAGGATGGTCTGGAAAAAGTTGTGAGATAGGTAATCCATGCAAATTACTCGCATGAACCCCTGCCGCAAAACTATATTTCGCTTACCCAAGCTCGTCTAGACGGATGATCCGTCTCTAGTATAAATTGAGCTTATTTGCCTATATATAAAAATAGTGAGGATTGTAGCACTGATTGGACAAGTAACATCAAGTTATAAAGAATATGTCAAACAGAACATATAATCCCACGTTTAGAAAGTACACGGGATTTGGGAAATTATTTATGAGGTGGGGACGAACTACGAACAGACGAATTTCCACGTATTTATACTAACAGACGTGTGTTGCTTTAAGACAAACTACTAAATCAAAATCATCTAAAAGATGAACTATAATGCGGATAGTTCGTGTTGACGGATGATCCGCCTGCATGTTTGCCCATGTTCAAACACAGACGACTGTAGAAGACGAACTATGTTTCGCTTGCCCAAGCTCGTCTAGATCTTGACGGATGATACGTCTCTAGTATATAAATCGGACCAATAACAAGTGATCTTTCAAATTCGAGGGAATTGTTCGATCTGCGATATAACGAACGGAGAATGTGTGAAAGGATTTTGTCAATGTAAAGATGGCTGGGAAGGACATACTTGTAATGTGAAAGGTAGGGAGTTTCAAGAAATCCAACATTGTTTCACAATGATAATCTTACTCTCCAGATAATAATTCACTTTGACAAAAAGATGGCAGATGTACATTTACACAGAATGCATTATATACTCTATTGAATCGTTTACTTTAGCAACATGTTATAACGTCGGGAATTGTACAAGTATTAAGCAAGGAGTTTGCCAGAAAACGAATCTTTGTCGATGTAATGACGGATTTATTGGTAAGATAAACCAGATAAGCATATCGTCACCTGCCGCTGTCCATCGTGGGAAAAAAGCTCTCAAAAATGATATGATGAAAGTCATTAGTATCAATCACCATTTCGACTAAACTGCTGCGATTGTTTCGCAATGCAAGAGTTATCCACTCACTGAAACAGTTTTTTTCGCGCTAGGTCGAAATTGTAGCATTATTCCTACCTGTTCCAACGTATCTGATTGTTCTGGAAAAGGTATTTGTGTCGATTATGACGTTTGTAAATGTAACAGAGAGTGGACTGGTAGGAACTGCACTTTGCACTCTTGTTCAACTTTGGATTATTGCTCAGGTAATTGTATTGATTTTGAACACTTTTTGTTCATAATAACATCTGACAGGTATGTTCATCTGCTTACCTACAAGGTGGGGGCTTTAAAGTTGTCTGTACTGACTGTACACGAAGCATAGTAAAATGCTATCAAGATTTTGGCCATGAAGTCTCGTCGGGAATATTTTTAAATTCATTGCTACAAATATACTGAAATAGGCATGCCGACATGAAATAAAGGCAAGTGGTCACAGTCCAGATACTGAACGTCATGCAAAAGACGAGATATTAAAACGTTCCGCCTTCGTTGATTACAAAATTGAACTCGGAATGATAGTTTGATTTAGTTCAATGTCTGCCAAAAGCTGCAATGATTTTAAAAACATGGCTTTAGAAGCGATTGGTCATTATTTGAAGCGAATAAAAAGCGAATAATTAAATTCTTGGAGGAAGGTTTTCCATAGTGTATAATAGTATTGCAGTCAATTTTTCATGTTATCAGAAAATAACACATTGTCATGTCCATTTTTCATCGCATGTTTAAAATGCACATTGTGCATTGTGTATATTAATTTTATATTTTTGAAGTTTTGAACTTGAAAAGTCTGTTGAAACACTTGACATTTAAAATTTCGTTTGAATTTAATAAACTCGGATTTGGTGACTTGTCTTCCATGCTATGGGGACTCCCAGTTAATGCACATAAAATCTTCTAAAATATTCTAAATATATTCTAAAAATCCTAAAGGGCATGGCCAATGTGTTGATGTGGATGTGTGCGTGTGTGATTCCGGATGGACTGGGGTGAGTTGTGCCCTTGCTGACTGTGCAGAAGTGGGTAATTGCTCTGGTCAAGGTGAATGCATTGCGTCGAACGTCTGCCGCTGTTACCCAGGGTTCTCTGGCTCCAACTGCACAAACATAGCAGAATGCGGGCTTAGAAATTGCAGCGGAACTGGCGCTTGTACGCAAGAGAAGTCTGGCGAAAACACGACGTGCAGGTAATTGATATAATTTTATGCTCAAAAACTGATAAATCATGATCCGTTGCATTTACATAGTAGAATACGCGAGTCATAACTGGAAGTGTGATAGCTTCATCTGCATTCGCCTCAGCATCTCAATCTTATATTTTCAGACATCTCTCGTGTTCAATATATTAAATCCATTCCACTCAGTATATTACCTTAAAAATATGTAATAATCAGGAATCAAAACAACGAATGCAACCCCTCCCTAGCTCTAAAATGTTTGAATGAACCGTAAATCGGCATCCAAATCCCCTACGTTTTTTAATAAGCGTGCAGAATTACCTCGGAAGTGTAAGGCGTTTTATGAATTTCCTCCCCCTCTCTTGTTATCCTAAAATTGCATCATTAACTGTTTTTATTTTCCTGATTCTACGTTTTAGATGCTATAACGGTTTCAGGGGATTAGACTGTAGTATTCCTTCGTGTTCTTCCGTTAATAACTGCTCTGATCACGGCAAATGTGTAGAGGCTAACCTTTGCCAGTGTGATATAGGTTATGGTGGAGCTAACTGTTCGATTCCTTCGTGCGAAGGTGTCAATTATTGTTCAGGTAAGAGGAGTAAAAATAGATAATTTCTAACGTTTCATAATTGAATAAGTCAAGCGAAAATGACTTTGGTATCTAGTACTAGCAGCTTTTGGTATCTAGTACTAGCAGTTCATAGGTGAAACACCAAGTTTTCCAACTACTTGTTTCTGACAGAGAATACTTCTAATAAGTTGTTTCAAACAAGTTAATAGAGCAACGTTAATTAAAGTAATTTTGATCTCAATTGTCAAAAAAGTGATACCGAAGCAAATGGATTGCCATTCAAATATTATTCACAGGACACGGAAATTGCACAGGTTATGATAACTGCGTCTGCGATCCTCTGTGGCAAGGATCAGCGTGTAATCTTGGTGACTGTTCCAAAGTAAACCACTGCAATAACCAGGGAATTTGCGTTTCGCTGGATACCTGCCTGTGTTATCCTGGATGGGAAGGGGCCAACTGTAACCTCATCGCAAAAGTTAACCTACACGCTCCAACGTTCAATGAGACACTGTACAATGTATCGTTGCTAGAAAATAGTCCGATTGGAACGAAAGTCATTAGAGTACAAGCAAAAGATGCAGATACTGGTCAAAAAGAACAAATGTTCTATATATTAATGGATAATCGTCTGAAGCAGAAACCAACGTTTGAAATCCCGAAACCATTGTTTGGAATCGATAGTAGGTCTGGTGAAATTTTTACGTCTTCAGTTTTTGACTATGAGAGTGTCGGACCTCAGTTTTTCACTTTAAACGTCCAAGTTTCTGACAATGGTTATCCACCGAAAAGACGGCTTTAGCCTCTGTCCATGTCGTAATCGAAGACACAAACGACAATTGCCCAATCTTCAAGTCGCCTTCAAAAAGGTTGTTCAATTTAACTGCAAAATCCCATCCTGGAACATTATTGACAGAAGTATATGCAACAGATGCTGACAGTGGCGTTAATAGTCAAGTAAAATACACTTTATCGACTCATAGCGGTGATTTTAAAATCGAAGAATTAAACGGTAGTGTGATCGTGGCTAAAGAGTTAAGCGTTCGTGAATATAGTTTGTTCATTGTTGCGTATGATATGGGTTTACCAAAATGTTCAACGGAAATTAAAATCAATGTGAATGTATATGGAAATGTGTCAACAACCGTTACAGGTAAACCAAATATTTCACCCTATAAGTTTTTACCTTTTAATAAAATTCAGCTGCCAAATTTCTAAAAAGCCTACAAGTTGCCAAGAAATATTTGGCATATTTTCTTACATTTTCATTCAGCAAACATTTCCCTTGTCCTATACTGTGATTCATACTTTGTAGGTAAGCCCACGGCAATAGGTACGAAAAAAGACATACCTTCAGCGTTACCATTACCAAGTTGGTACAAACAACCAGTGACAATTGCACTGTTCTCTACAGGCTGTGCGCTTGTATTTCTCTTTGTGTTCGCATTTTTTGTCGCAAATATTTTAGGAGACGTGTAGATGAGCGGAATAATCAGGTTGTCGATGAGAATCGCACAGTTAAAGCTCATCCGATGCTGAAACTTGCCTGGAGTGAAACAAACGAGGGCAGATGTGCAGAATCTGAGTTATAAAAGCTTTGATATCTTTAGTATAATTAATGCATTTCCATAATCTAGCCTTTATTTAGTTTAGCCTTTATTTATAAACACCTATATTGTTTCTTAATTTAATTCGATCCAAATGATGCCGTACATATGAGCCAACAGGGTCTGATTCGAAGTTTAGGAACTTCACATGGAAGAGAGTCTTTTATACGTTTTCGCTTTCGTTACGCCTAGTATCTTTCTTATATCGATGCTTACACTATCATACTGTAGTTATTCATTTACTCTGAAACGTTCGAGTTTAGTATGTTGTATGGCTATATATATGTACGTTTTGTGATTATTCTCGGTATATATATATATATATATATATATACACACAACTTTTTTAACGCTTTCGGGCCTCGGAGGAAATTTTCTGAAGCGGTCGGCGTTTACTAATGATTTCTTATATTATACACAATAAAAATGATTTTATATATGCATAGGATATTTAATTCAGGATTTAATTTAATATATGTAATATATTGATATCATATGTAAATAGGTAGTTTTGCTAATTATTGAAAGATAACTTAATTTTTATCTCTTGTTACTCCGGCATAAGCGACGGAGTTGCAAATTCACCTCGGTTTCTTTTTTTTTTTTTTGTTGTTTTTTAAATTATTAAGCCAGCAAGAACCGCACAGACGCAAGTAAGAACAGCACACATGCAAGTAAGAACTGTACAGATGCAAGAAAGAACAGTACAGATGTAAGACAGAACAGTACAGGTTCAACTAAAAAACTGTACACACGCAAGTATTAACAGCCCAGATGCAAGTAGGAACAGTACAGATGCAAATATTATTAAACAGTAATAAGACTGACAATATAGCAAGGAGCCTAGAACTATGGCGTCATATATCCGCCAAAATTCAACTTCGTTATTTTATGTTGAGCATATTCTTTGTTTTATTGGACTTTTTGTATTCTGCATTCAAGTTTGTGTATTGCAGTCATCTTTGTATTTTAAATTCATGTTTGTGTCGGTTTTACATTCAAGTTTGTATTTTGCATTCGAGCTTTCGCATTTTACATTCAAGTTTGCATTGTACATTCAAGTTTGTATTTTATCCAACCGCAATCCAATAGCTAACCGGTTTCGCGGGCGCGGGCGTTAGACATAATCCAACTTTACAATAATCAGTTGAAAATCGGTGCAAACATCACCAGAGGCCTCATATCTATCTATTGCATTAAAAACGTCATTAAGTAAATACCGTACTTCCTCCATAGTTCAGCTGTGGAGTAACACAAAATTCACTATTGTATTTTAATTTTGGTTTTTTTATATGACACACCGGCGCACTGAGAACACACCAATGAACTATAAACAAACGACTTTACCTACAGTTCAATGAGAAACACACGCGCACTAACCATTTCGAAATACCACCTCTATCGAAATCATTGAATCGAAATCAGTGATCGAAATAGAGGAAATTGAGTTCACTGGCACGCCCGCCATACTTGCGCCCGCGAAACCGTTTAGCTATTGGATTGCGGTTGGATAAAATACAAACTTGAATGTACAATGCAAACTTGAATGTAAAATGCGAAAACTCGAATGCAAAACACAAACTTGGATGTAAAACCGACACAAACTTGAATTTAAAAAACACAAAGATGAAGGTAATACACAAACTTAAATGCAGAATATAAAAAGTCCAATAAAACAAAGAATGTTCAACATAAAATAACGAAGTTGAATTTTGGCGGATACATGACGCCATGTAGAACGCTATATTGGTATGACATGAAGTTCTCGGCATGTCGGACGTTCCATTTTTCCAGCCCAGGCCACGTTAACGGACTTTATAAAATATTATAAGGGCTATTGAAGCATAAATGTTTTGTTCTAACTGCTCTCAAGAAATTATTTCTGGTTCATGTCTTATATATTAATTGATGTTATATTAATTTAATTGATGTTCTTTAAATCTTGAAAAGGAAGGGAAAATGTTCAAATGTACTCACCATGAAACAGCAACACGTGAACAGGATACAAAGTCTTAAGGCTGTTTTCCACTTCAACCGTATCGTAGCGAAACGTAGCGTATCTCATTGTTTTAAACCCCGTTTACACTACAGTTAATTTATCGGCACGGCACGGCTAAAATGGGTACCCGTGCTCAATTTTACTAGTGCTCAGGCTACCAAAACAAAGGCCGGGCACAAATGAATTGGCACGGGTACCCATTTTAGCCGTGCCGTGCCAATAAATCCAGTGTAGTGTAAATGGGGCTTTAAAGTCATTTGTTCTGGTCGAATACTCCGGAAACAAAGAAATACGCTACGATACGGTTGAAGTGAAAAACAGGCCTTATAGTTATATTAATTGATGTTATTTAAAATCTTGAAAAGAAACCGAAAATGTTCAAATGTACTCTCCATGAAACAAACACGGTACAAAGTCTTATGGGTATATTAATCGATGCTCTTTAAAATGTTGAAAAGGAAGGTAAAATGTTCACATCACATGTAGCATTAAATTCAAACCGGAAATCTATGTACAGTAATTATATAATCAATTGGGTACTATTGTCATGCAAATCCGTCTAATAAAAATGCTAGCTATCAACTCTAAAGGCCATAATATTTGCTATGATATCTACGGAATAGAGCTGAACCATATTTCTGCGTGCATCTGTCGAATATAGTTTACTTGATCGTGAACACTCAAATTTCTACCGGACAGTAACTATAACTGTAAGTCTACTTTCTTTTAACCTTTTACCAACCTTGTTGTTGATTATTTAATATAGTTAGCTTATGTAAATATGTAATGTTTTATGAACTTATGTAGTTGAACCGTTTCGAATATATAAAAATTTACGAGTTCAAGGTTGTTGTCTGGATTTTGGATGGAGAGATTTACATGTACTCTCCATGAAACAGCAACACGATACAAAGTTTTATAATTACATTACTAATATTAATAATATTATAAAAGAATATACTAATCTGGAGCCTGCAGGGAACTAATATGAAATATAGCTTCGTTATTATAACCATACATCTAACCTGAATTTCGATACTCACATACGGCTCCCAAATGCTGATGTATCAGAATTCATAATGACAGAGGACAAGGGTATTGAATCCGTTTGTCAGCTGTTGACATATTAATAATCCATCAGTTTAAATCCCGTATCGCTAACTGCTGAATTTGCATTCGATGTGTTATATAAGTTATATACATAGGTTATAGAAATAACATGACGTTCCCAGGTCTATTGTTTAAATAACCGGAAGTGAACTTATTCGTGGGATTTTGACATGCTTACAAGAACGCTTGTTGTAATTTATCTTTCGTTTTACTATTATTTAAAGTTTATTTGTTTGATTGATCTTAAAATCATAACAAAGTTGGCGACGAGAATGGGATATTTTACTTTTTTCTGAAGATTTCGTGCAATTAATTGCTGTTGAATTGAGAATTGAGTTCAAGACAATTCGACACTTTTCAAAATGGCTGAACTTGCAGATTTGGTTAAAGTACTTCAAGAACAAAATAACGCTCTTCTTGGAACCCTTAAGGCAGGTATAAAGGTACCCGTGGCTAGTTCGACGAGCATTCCTACATTCTCGCCGTTTAACCCGACATAAGAGCTGTGGAAAGACTATCTAGCCCGTTTTCAAACGTTCGTAGCGGCGAATTCTGTAGCAACGGATAAACAGGCGAAAATTTTCCTTACGAATCAAACGTCCGTGACCTACAAACTACTGAGCAATTTGGCGTCGCAACAACAGCCACCAAAAGAAGTTAATGATTTGACTATGGAGGAAATAATTGAATTTATGAGAGCACAGTTCGACCCCACATTATTTGTGGTACGCGAACGTTTTAAGTTTTGGTCCGAGATGAAACGTAAACCGGGAGAAACTATTCAAGAGTTGGCTGCTCGAATTCGGCATGATGCGGCCAGATGCAATTTTGCTGAAATTAGGGATCCCCAAGACGAAGCCCTACGTACAAGATTTATGTGTTCAGTAAGCAACGAAGCAGTACTTAAAGCGTTTTTCAAAATGAAAGACCAGGAGCTCAATTTTGCGAAGGCTGTTTCAGTTGCCACGGAAATTGAAGAGGCGGCGAAAGTTGCTAAAGAAACTACCTTCGGAATCAAGGGTTCGGGTCAAGGGGTGAATCAAGTGCGACAAACGTCGACAAAGTATCACGATGACGCAAGAAACCAAAAGAAAAGTGGTAAGGAGGAAAAGGCAGTATGTTTTCGCTGTGGCAAAAAAGGTCATTTGGCAACGAAATGCAAATTTAAAGAGACGGAGTGCCATTTTTGCCACAAGAAAGGCCACCTCCAAGCTGTGTGCAATTCAAAAAAGAGACTGGAAGCCCGTGAACAACTGAAAGTTATTACCCAGCGACTGAACACAGTCAAGATTCAAAAGCAAGTGCGCCAGCTAATTCAGCCCATAGATTTAAAGGGGCAAAAGTTCAATTTTGAAGTCGACACTGGTGCTGGCGATAATTTTTGTTCAGTAGAGGTATGGAAGAAGCTCGGCAAACCAGACCTTACAGCAGTGGATGTCGTATACGAAGTTGCTAATAAACAACCATTACCAGTCCTTGGCTCTTTTGAAGTTGATGTTAAAATTCATAATAAACACGGAGTGATACGTCAACCTCTTAATTTCAATGTCACAGAAGTGCAAGGACTTAACCTGCTAGGACGACATGGCATCCAAAAGATGGTTGTCGATCTAAATTCGTTGATATCCGGAGAGTCTTCACTAGCGAGAGAAGTGCACGCTGTGTTTGACCATTTACATACTGATAATACCTTTCAAAAGGCATGCCGTCAGCTCTGTGATGAATTTTCTGATATTTTCAAACCAGAACTCGGATGCCTAAACGATTTTGAACTAGATATCACGTTCAAGTCAGATGCTAAACCAGTTTTCTGTAAACCACGTTCAGTTCCTTTAGCAATGCAAGAAGATCTTAATCGGGCATTAGAGATAGGAATTCGTAAAGGCGTGTGGGAACCAACCCCTTTCTGCGAATATGGTACTCCAGTGGTACCCATTCGAAAAGCAGTGTTACCTGGCCAAACCAGAGCCAATATTCGTGTTTGTGGCGACTACACTCGGTTACTGTCAACCCTCAATTGGAGGACCATCGCCAAGTACTCCCTCTACCTGAGGATTTGATGCGAAAACTTGGGGGTGGATATGGTTTCACAAAATTGATCTAGCGGATGCATACAACCAAGTGAAGCTGACTCCCGAAAGTCAGAAGAAACTTGCTCTCAGCACCCACCGTGGAGTCCTTCTGCAGAAGAGATTACCATTTGGTATTAAATCGGCCCCTGGTTACTTTCAAGAGATAATGGAACAGTTGACGGCTGACCTCAAAGGGGTAGCAGTGTATTTAGATGATATTTGGTTAGCGGTGCTACAGCACAGGAACATTTGGGAAATCTTCGAGCGTTACTTAAGCGACTAAGCGACAAAGGTCTACGGTGTCGGTTAGAAAAATGTTCTTTTGCTCAACCAGTGGTGGAATATTTGGGTCATACCCTCTCCAACGAAGGTATTGCTAAGGGCCCGAAAGTCGACGCAATCAAGAAGATGCCTCCTATCGATGTTTCAAGTTTGTCTTCATTCCTTGGTTCCGTACAGTTCTACTCAAAGTTTCTTCCAAACCTGTCCACGGTCTTGAAACCACTGAAAAAATTACGACGTAAAGGGGAACCATGGTGTTGGGGAGAGCAGCAGCAAAATGCGTTCGACACACTCAAGAGTATGCTTTGTGAAGACACTGTACTAGTGCACTATGATCCCTCCCTTGAGATTGGTCTATCTTGCGATGCATCAAATGTCGGAGTGGGTGCAGTTCTTTTTCACCGTTATCCGGATGGAGACGAGAGACCAATCGCGAACGTTTCAAAAACGCATACAGATGCTCAGCGACGTTATAGTCAAATTCAGAAAGAGGCCCTAGCTATTGTCTATGGACTTAAAAAGTTTCACCAGTTTCTCTACGGCAGAAAATTTATTCTTGTCACGGATCATAAGCCACTTGAAGCATTGTTTGGTCCGAACAAACCTATTCCTGTTATGGCGGCTAACCGATTGGCGCGATGGGCGTTGATGTTGTCCCAGTACAGTGGGTACACTATTGAATATCGCAAGACAACAGAACATGGGAACGCCGATGCCTTGAGCAGACTCCCAGTAGGTCCTGATGATGAGTTCGACAGGGAAGAAGGATCAGATGATACAGACGTGGTGTGCACGATTAAGATGATTAGTCAAAAAATGAAACCACTTGACGCCGATTTGGTGAAGAAAGAATCAGCAAAAGATCCCGTCCTAGCAAATGTTATGCGATACGTTCGAGAAGGTTGGCCAACTAACAATAAGCTGTTAGAAGATACAAGTCATGGCTATTCAGTAAAAGATTTCCAAAAAGCCGCTGATTCTCTATCCGTGGTGAATGGTTGCCTCATATATGGTTCAAGAGTGGTGATACCACGGAGTCTGCAGCGACAAGTGCTAAAGCTACTACACATTGGCTATTGTGGTATACAACAAATGAAGCAACTAGCTCGTACAGCCGTCTACTTGCCACGCATTGATGAGGACATACGAGAACAAGGCAGACAGTGCCAACCATGCGTGGAACATCAAAACAAGCCCGAGAAATCAGCCAACCATCCATGGATGCTTCCCGAGCGACCTTGGAGCAGAGTACACATTGATCATGCCATCAATTTTCTTGGGTCAAACTGGTTGGTGATGGTAGATGCATACTCTAAATACCCGTGTATTCATCCAACAACGTCCGTGTCGACAAAGGCAACGACAGAGCTGCTAGAGGAGGATTTCGCCCATTTCGGTTATCCTCACACAATTGTATCAGATAACGCAACAGCTTTCAAGTCAGCAGAATTTCGGGAGTGGTGCCAAGAGCGAGGTATTGTGCATCTCACAGGAGCACCCTACCACCCAGCAACCAATGGGGCTGCAGAACGTCTGATCCAGACAGCTAAACAATCCATGAGGAAGTCTTCGAAACCACCTAAAGCTGCCTTGCAAGAATTTCTGATGCAGTACAGACGTACGCCGTTGGAGTTGGGATATTCACCAAGCGAACTGCTAAATGGTCGGCAGATTCGTTGCAAGATTGATACTCTTCTTCCGTCACACGCACATGCAGCTCAGGGTAAACAAGCAAAGCAGGCAACGAAGTCTCAAGAAGCCGAGAAACCAGCCGAAGTTACCCAAATCCGAGCAACACCAAAGTATGAAGTGGGTACGAGATGTTATGCTTTATATTATGGCCCAAGGCGAGAGAAAGAAGCGCGTTGGGTTCCCGCAATTGTGGTTAAAGTATTTGGAACACGCAGCGTTAATGTTCGAGTGCAGCCTAAAGGTCTCGTATGGCGCAGACATGTAGAGCAGCTTCGACCGTGGTACGTAAACCCGGACGAAGATGCTGAGCCTGCAGAACAGCCCAGAGAAGCAATTGCCGAGAAAATAGTGAATCAGAATCCAGTGATGTCCCGTGAGAGAAAGTCCTCTACGGCCGGAAAGAAGGACAATCCTGTACATCTATCTACTACGAACAATGGTAGAGATCTGCCCAGACGTTCAGAACGACTGAAGGCTAAGAAACAATCCGCTCCTTCATAGCTTCGAAGCTGTGAGGGAGGTGTTATATAGGTTATATAGATAGGTTATAGAGATAATATGACGTTCCTAGGTCTATTGTTTAAATAACCGGAAGTGAACGGTTTGATTATTCGTGGGATTTTGCCATGCTTACAAGAACGTTTGTTGTAATTTATCTCTCGTTTTACTATTATTTAAAGTTTATTTGTTGGATTGATATTAAAATCATAACAGTGTCTTTCTCTCACTTTGCTAGTTTTATTAATTAACGCAGATGATTGACACATTTAGTAAAATTCAGCTTGTTTATTTCGGTTTAGTAGAATATGCGGGGCGCGTGATGCGGAATGCGGGGCCAGTAGAAAATGCGTGGTCGGTAGAAAATGCGGGGTCAGTAGAAAATGTTGTAAATAGCACTCAATAGTGACGTTAACATTTATTGATATTAACATAAAGTACTTTGGTACATTAATCGCGGGCTCCTTTTGTGCGTTCGCAAAACAGTTTTGTTTTCTGTTAAAATACATAAATTTTACTCAAAGTGTTTTTCCTTTTTTTGGTCTATAAATTTATCACAAATTCAACAGAAAATGCGGGGTCGGAGGAAATACGGGGTCGATAGAAAATGCATACCCTTTTCTAGTCTGGTTAACCCCTCGTTAAAAATATTTATTTGATGTTGAAGACGTGGCCTCTGCGGTTCCTAAATACGGAATTTAAAAATTACACACACTGATAGTGATAGTTAGTTAATTGGGAGATTTAACACAAGCAGGTGAACGTCAAAGACGATGAGAAAATAGCGAATCCATCGTGAACTCCAGTTATTCACCATTTACACGTCCTCTTTGACGTTCATGTCCTCGTGCTAAATCTCCCTATTGTTCGGACAAGGAAGCCCAACGTGACAATTAATTTATATTTGAAAGAGGTTGATTGTCTAAGCCAGTGAAAAGAAATTATTTAATTGCCTTTAAAATTCGTTCTTTCTTTCAGTGAAGCGAAATCGATAATTTATAGAGTCTCTCCACCAAATAATAGCTGGAAACATGACCAGTTATGCACAACGTGGTTATCATTTAACAGTTATTCTGCGAACTCGAGTCGTATATGAGCTGATAGCCGACGAGGCGCGTAGCGCCGAATTGGCTATCGACCATATACGACGAGAGTGAGCTGCGCCTCGTGTTTTACAAGCTTCTCTCGTATTCTCCCAACATTCCCCTATCGTGCATTATTACACCATAAAGGCACGCGACTCGTTTTTTAATTCTTAAATAAAACCAATTCCCGCACATTTAAAGCCATTTCCTCAACGTTTAACCTGCTTGTATTCTTCAGTTATATTAAAATTGTTGAAGATATTTTAGCGTTTTTAAAGACAAACGCAGTGTGTATTGATAAACGCACGACGAAATTGCTTCAATGCTTCCGCTACCAGCAATTACATTTTCTAAAGTTCCATGAGTGAAAAATGGAATTATTAAGTGGAGACACCACCTTCAATTTTGTATAAAATCCCGCTCCTTTGGTTTAGCGAATTTGGCTTTTAGGACCTTTCGCACATGTATTCCCAGCACAAAATAGCCATTTATCCGCTCGCTTAGCTCTAAAAAATTTGGCTAAATCTTTAGTTGTTCGTGCATTTACGAAAATAAGCGGTATTTTTTTGCCCAAAAGATCGCAAATATTCACAAACTTATTCAACGGTAATGGCGGATAATAGTTTCCGACGGTTCGCGATTTTTTGAGTCCTCGGAAGATATCGTAGTTACGTCACATTCTTACTATCTATCTATCTATCTATCTTACACAGGCGATGACATAAAGGCAGGGTTTCCATTTCTAAGGAAATTTCCTTAGAAAAGTGCTCCACTATGGGGGAGAGGGTCATAATTAATTGCATAAATTATACATTCTTTTCAAAAGTTCTTTGTTTCTCTCTGCTCACCAATCCCATCCCTGTGTGAGGAGAGCAATATGCAAATAAATTATGGAAGCCCTGCATAAAGGATTTTGCTTAATAAGCAAATCCTTAAAAATTGTTTTGACACGCGGATGTTCAAATTACGTACGTTTTTGTAAGAAGACCAACCTCACTGTCACCCCACCCCTGATGAGGACACTAGACCACAGTGTCGTGAATTTAATTTTTGTGTGGTGATTATACTTTCATTATTCAAATTTATTTTCGACAATTAACCTTTCCACTAATATCATCATTTAGTGGGAAAAATAGTCATCGCAGCTAGAAAGATCTTACTTAAATTAGTGCAATGTGCGAATGAAAAGTTTGGCTTCGAAATTTTGTACGAAAAATATAGCCATGCGAAGTTCGCAAATTTTGTATTCTTTTGTATTACGCGCGGAAATGTGTAGCTAAATTAGTTACACACTTAGGGTCGTAATACAAAAGTAAACAAGATATGTGAACTTTGCATGGCTATATTTTTCGTAACTTACAACAATTCGCAGCCAAACTCAGCAGTTTTACTTATTTTAGTAAGCTCTTTCAGAAAATATCCCTTTTATTGCCGAGGCAAGAAATTACCATGTGCCTGTCGTCCCTTGGGTCCAACGAAATTAGATCGTGTGAAAAGTCTTTAATAATGTAATCACTAACATTCCATACTGACGATAAGTTGAATTTCTATTTTACTGTACAATATATAGATGTAACCGCTCAACTTATGTGTTCTGCGATATTCTTCACGAAGACTTCAGCTATGCACGACTGAAGGATGGCAATCTTTTTCTTACGAGCTCCTTTAGGTTGCGGCAACCAAGGCGTGAAAACGTGCCAGAAACAAACTACAAAGCTTTTCTTAATGCAGACCGTGGATATTGCTTCAATTCAACGGAAATAGTGTTCCAAATGTCCGAGGCAATTTCAATATTACAGCAGGTAAAAAGTAATGAATCTATAGTGCAGACTCGTACCCACGTTTTTCTCAGAGAAAAAGACCGTGGTGTCAACGGGTCATTTGAACTTGAGAAAATTTTCTTCAAAAGCCCATCACAGGCTTTTTGGCATTTCGTCATTTGAAAAACTTGGAAATGTGGGTATGTAGCTTCGCCTCTCTATGTTGTATCTCTTAATTGTTTAAAATCGTTAAATATTTTGTGTTTTGCTTTGTGGAGACCTCCCATTGAGCAAAAACGGATTCCTAGGAAGTACTTGACTTCCACTTTAAATATTTTTGGAGCCATTTGATTAAACCCTAACAATAAAATACATATATTAGTACTGCAACTCTTCGGCTACTTGGTGTGTATCTTTTAACAGTCATTTTTTGGCGCGACATATATTTTAAACAATCAGCGAAATTCGTACCCAGGCGTTATCCGATAATGTGACCACGACGATAGCTGAAGAATGTGAACCTAAATTATATCCACGTTAAATCCCGTCTCGCAATGTTTGTTTTGTACTATACAATAACAGTTGTATTTTGAGTTCTACTGAATATCTAACAACATTCAAGTTGCTACGCGCTTCTAAATATTATGAACTTGTGCGTATGTTAAGAAACGTTTTTAATTATTTTACGAGAGCGCGTGCATGGCAAGCTCTCCGGAGTTAAAGGCGATTCTCCATTACCGTCTGCTTCACCACGTCATACCACGGAAGACGAGTGGATGAATGCATAAACGTTTTTTGCTTTGTAGCATAAGTTAAAAAAATTACCCAACACTTTTGTTTGAATACCTGAGCATTAACAATCAAGTGCGGAGAGGAGAACTGCTACACTCCCACACCATTCCACCTCGTACACCCCTGGGAACACCAGGTGCCACGCCTTTGGGACATGACCGGTTCTCGTGTGGGGAGACACAGTTACAAGTTACAATTTGTGTAGTGTTGGTTTCGAATTGGGTCTTTTAAAGCGAGGTTTTGTCTGAATAACCGGATACTTCTGCCTTAATTAATGTCATGCATCTACTGTTTTCTTCAGATATTTCACCGGATAATTTCAACCTAACTTACAAAGAGGCTGTAATGAGACAAGCCGCGCTGTTTCCCGGGAACGGAAACCGTTTGAATGTTTCTGGTATCTCTGATGATTTCTGGAGGAATAGCAACTGGTCAGTCATGGCTTTACTAAGGTACAAAAATACTAATGAGAAGTTTGTCAGGGTGCTGGGTCATGGTTCAACATCTGCCAACAAAGGGTTGCACTTAGGCATCGCAGTCAGCGACGATGCCAGAAATAAAAAGGTGAATGGAAGTAGCGGGTTTGAATATAAGAAAATAAATATCTATATAGGGTGTGTGTGACTTATGCAATATGGCTTAATTCTTTCAAACTAAGTGTTTTCTCACAGTAAAGATCTTAAAGATCTTTTAAAAAGTATTTCGGAGGCGCAGTGAACATTGTTATCCAGTAAACGTGAAAACTGAGCTTAACGTCAAGATTAGGAAGAAATTATACTTAGCTGTAGAGATGTAAAGTGGGTTTAAGATTTGTGGCGTGCCTTTTTCACTAAAGAATTAATTTTTCAGAACCGATATTACGGAAATAGTGTGGATGCCAGTTGAAAAGTATGAGAGCTTATATTCTACCCATACTAAATGCTATTTCCATACTATATATGGATATATGAACAGAAAAAGTATTTCACAGATTAAAATCCATGCAAATGTCTCACTTCTCACAAAAAAGCGTAAATTAATATTTCAAAATGGAGTCAAACTGTTTAAAGTGAAAAACTGTACGGTGTATTTTGTTTGGAGTCGAACTGTTTAAAGCGGAATACATGTAAATTTATTAATTTGTACAGGAAATGTCATTCAATGTAAATATATTCACATACTTTTTCATGCATTTAAATGAGATATGTTGAAAATATACCATCGAATGGGGGGTTCATACTGATTATAATCTTCCGCTCCTACGACATTCGAAAAAGGTAACACTCGTACAATATTGAAAATGTGGTGCTTTTAACTCACTTTCCAATACGCGTATAGATGATGAGAGATTCAGTCACAAACTTAACCACACGGCCCCTTTCTCTAG